CCCGGGACCCGAGAGCATACATGTCTTTTTTCTTGCAATCGAATTTCTGCCATATGGTCTCTGAAGTCTGTGCCTTGAATGGTTCCATCCTTTGATCGCATGAGCAGGCAGAGACACCTCGGTCTGATTCCCAATTCAGATGCTTTCGAGCGCCCCAGAGTTTGGTCTTCAAGGATCACGACCATCGAGCAACTCGTGTTCGATTCGGAGAGCACGTTGTTGGCCACAGTCTATGAGGCAACGGCATGGCCAGTCGTGAGCCATGATTAAACACAGACCTAGAAGCACATTGTGGGCATCACGGAAGCGTCCTTCAAGCTCAGACTGATACGTATCTCCTCGTTTCTGGCGCCGCAGAAGCAGCGGAAGCCCCTGGCGCGGCCGCTGAGCCGCCAGGGTGTCCATCAGCTTCTCGAGGCACCTCCAAATTTCAATGGGTCCTTGGGGGCTTCAGAAGGGTTACAGGTTTGTTCGATGCACAGGCCGTTAGAAGTGCCTTGCAGTACCAGTGCCAAGTACGGGCGAAGGGTGAGCGATTTTCGTTTGGGGTTGAAGGTCGGCACCGTGTTGGTAAGGGGCAGTCTCTATCAGCTGCTCTTTCCATGATTGGTTGTCGAGGATGGCCTTGGTTTCCGTTGCATGTCGATGCAATATGACGGAATGACGGTCATGGTGTTGACAATTACATTTTCTCTTCTGTGCTGAATATTCCCTGGCCCCTCACGAAGGCCTATCTGGTGCATTGGCTCCTGGGGTCAGATGAGGACCCATGTATCCGCAGATTGAAGCGGGAAATCCGAAGCGCCTGAACTCCAAACTGCCATTTGCCCGCCCAAAGTTGGGATTGAATGGGTTGTTGTTTGACTGGACGCTACTTCAGCAAGATGAGGTCGCTAACATGCTATGCGTCCTGCAACTTCTGGGGCCTTCCCGTTTGCAGGCCATTGCGCTGCATCTCCAGTCAAAACGCTGTGCAACGCAGTAGCGGTAGTAGCGATTCCGACCTGGATCTGCGTAGCATGCCGAGTTTGGCCCTCACGGCAACCATGCTCTTCCCAATGCCGCAGTTTGTGGATTCTCGCTCTGCTTCCTTGCATAGCAACATAGCATGGGCTGCGACGTCAGAGTTCAGCTTCAGTTTCTTGCATGAGCGATGCAGGAAGGCATTCGAATGCTACTGAATAGTGAGCGGCTCCGCCGAAAGACATTCCCGCACTGGGCACCTCGGTCGGTGATTGAAGAGATCTTGAGTCTCCAACTTTCAAGACCTTGTTAATCCCATCCTGTAAACCCGGACCGAAACTTTAACTAAAAACCCAAACTCCAAGCCAGAATAGAGTCGTCCAATTTGGCAGCTGTACGCAGTCGAAGATGCCAGCCCGGTGCTGTTGTTAGTCGTTGGGTGTCACCTCGGGGAAGTTTTTTTCAGCATCATCGTGCCCACCTACAGAGCTTCGAAGTGCGAAGTGTGCAAAGCCTAACCCAACAACCCTTACCCCGAGTACCGAAACAGTTCTCCAACCCTCAAGCTCAACCCATCTCAATGCCTGAAGCCTCAACTCAAACCCTCTGAGCCCGGGAAGCAATCGTTCCGCCCAGGAAGAGCTGGTCGCCTTTGCACACGGCCAGGTGAAGGCTCTCTGCCCGGAGTTTGTCTGTGGTTCAGGGTTTAGGGTTTGGGGCCTTCTGCAACTTTCAGTTGTTTTTGTCGACTTTTTCTCGTTGCGCTGTTGCGAATCACACAGGTATCAACAGGAATCACAAGAATCTCGACGGGCGCAATAGCGGTTACGAAGTCTGAAGATGGTTTGCAGATGGTTCGGAGTTTCGGGTTCAGGGTACCGGCTCCAGACTAAAGGGTGTAGCCGGTGTAGCTCACAGGGCCGAGGGTGGACTAAGGGGTGTACGGCGGGTCTACGGATTGCACTCTCAAATGCCTTGCAGAGGCCCTGGACTGGGAAAGGGCACGCAGCTCGGGCTCTAGACACTCGGTTTGCAAAGAAGAGGGAGAAAGGTTTCGAGAGTCTGAGCATACTTTTGTTAAACAGGTAAATAACAGGTTGAATGGCTTAGGATTTCGGAGCTCTTTATGTCGACTCAATCATCACACAGTTGCCTCAAGTCATGGAATCAAATAAGTTGTGTCTAACGCCTCCAAAATGCCGTCAAATTTTCTCTAAGCCGTCCCTTCAAACACGAAACCCAACCCAGACACAGAGCATTGGTACAGCTTTAACTGTAAGCCAAAACCCGAAGCCGGTCCAGACCAGTGCAAAATACGCAGATCACAAATCCGCAAGGAGAGTCCATATTGATCGTGGTGACGGCGACGACGAATACGAGGATTATGATGATGATGATGATGATGGTGACGATGGTACTGTTGATGATCTGCATGAAGAAGAATAATGTGATAATGAGGCTGTCGTCCTCGTCGTCGTCGTCGTCATGGTGGTTGTTGTTGTCGTCCTCCTCCTCCTCCTCCCGTCGTCGTCGTCGTCGTTGTTGTTGTTGCCAAGTGCCTTTTCTGCAACTTTCCTAAAATCCTAAGTGGACGATGACTTCGCCTCAGTTTCTTCTCAAGTGCTCGCTCGTGAGGCAGCCTCCGACAGTGCTCAGAACATTCCACTATGGCCGGAGAATTTCGTGACTCCAGTTTCAGTGCAGGCGTGCAGCTTCATGCTGTTTCCCTCAATCGTACCTGATGCAATCCTCGAAGGCGTTCTGGCCTCCACTTTTGCCGTATGGCGGAGTTCAACGGAACTGGTTTCAGTATCACCCTCCCGGTGAGTTTACACAGTGGTATCTCGACACAATCAGGCATACACTGGCTTATCTTTACTCCGAGCCTCGGAGAGATCTCTTCATGCCATCGTCAGCACAACGACCGCCGCTAGGAGTATTTAGATTGACGCGACGTCGCCGAACAATTCTGCCATATGAGAGCCGCAACATAGACGACGCGGGCCGACGAATTGAGGACTGCAAGGCAATAGTGCTTAACCTGCAATGGTTCTCCCTGCGACCTACACATCTATATCCAAAGTGGTCGTCAGGCAAAGTCTGTTGCCACCCCCACTTGAAGTGGCGGGGGCTCGCAGAATTTGAGCTTGTGCTTGACTCAAAATTCTTACAAAAATACGGTGAGGCAGCCTCCCAAACTACATCTTCTAGCCTATTTGACCCCTCAATGCAACGATGCTTTGAGCAGCTTAGACCGGTCAGAAACCAGCTCAACGGTTTAACAAGATTCCGAAGCGAGCACAAACCTGGATAGGCTTTGTGCCAGACCTCCTTGAAGTACAGGTCCGTGAGCTTGCTGTGCAGTATCTTTGCTGCTATGACCGCAAATTCCAAGCCTCTTCTCGGATAGCGCTATGCACCATGCTAGAAAATTCTTGGCTACACGAAAGTCCATTGGTCATGTGGCTCGAGGTATGGAAGCGAATCCCAGAATCAGCTCGACCACGGCTTATAGAGCACACATACCTCATCGATGTCGTATTTGCCGGCAAGTGCAGTCTCAGCTGCGTACAGCGAGATATTGAGCAGTCCACCAGACCTGACCCATCTGTTTGGAGGAGTAACTCCCCCCAAGCAGATCCCGAGGAGATACTCCCGCCGGGAATATACAGAACTGTCAATTCAGCATCTTTTCGGCATTTTGCCACGAGCTGTAGCTCCCAGGTGGAGAAACTCCCTAGGGAAGCCAATCTTGACACGAACACTGCTTGACCAAATTACGAGCCAGCTTCAGGACAGATAGCATCTCAGCAAAAATTGGCAGGCCTGTGCCTTCAGGGGCGGGGCGGCAGCAGATGTTGAGTTGAGGCTCGACCTGCACACCGGCATGCGATGTGAAGCGTCCTGCGAATCAGGAATATCGTCGAAGATTGGGAAGAGAGCCACAACGACTCCTGCTGTCTTGAGGGACGGGGAGGTCAAAAGTGCATGGCACTTCAGTTGACAAGGCTCTACCGTGTGCTCAGTAGTTAGCTGTAGAGGAGCTCTTGAGGTGGAGAAACTCCCCGGAGGACTTCTCAAATGTTGAGTCGTCGCAAGGCGAGGATAGTTTCACGGCATAATCGAGGACATCTCCAGCTGCGAGTGAATGAAATGTTGTTGTTGTTGTTGTGGTCCTCCTCCTCCTCCTCCTCGTGTTGTATGTCATCTTGTTACCGATTGTACCACCACCGCCGCCGCCACCAGCACCAGCACCAGCACCAGCACCAGCACCAGCACCAGCACCAGCACCAGCACCAGCACCAGCACCAGCACCAGCACCACCACTATTATCATCCCGGCTGTTTTCGCCGGCATATCCTCTCCACGAACAGCCCATCGCCATCACCTCGTCCATCCCCCTCTGCATCCTAATGCCTTTCAATCGTTGGTTTACTCATCCTTTTCATGGCATGTCTTGCTTTGCCCAGGTGGTCTCAATGCTGGCCGTTACACCTTTGAAGATGCCCACGAGGCAGTTGCACGGGAGACGCCAACTCATTTAAGCTCGATTCAATTGCGTGCGTCGTGTCAGACGTCTGCCTCAATTGACTTCGGAGATGCAGGTGTATCACTGTTGTTTCATTCTGGATTGCCGCGGGTTCGGATCGGAGCGGGCAGCGCGTGATCGATCCTTGCCTGAACCCTGGCGCAAGATCGTGGGCGGCATCACTCACTCCTTCGCATCCTTTTGGGAGTCCGAATGCACTGAAATGAAGGCCGGGATGGGGATCTTCTGGTGGATTTCCCTTGAGGCATCTAACCGTATCTAACCCAGTCTTCGGGGCTTTGGTGAAACTAACTATCAATTTTTCAAAGACAATGAATGGTCTGTTGTTGAGGTAGAACACCTAGACAACGGAAGCTGTGGAAAAATTACCAAATCAAGACCCCGGAACTCCTGGAGCCCGCAAAGCACATTGCACTTCTCACAGGAGCAGCTGATCGCCATGGACTCTCAGCACACCGGCCGGGACCCCCGCATGGTCTGAGCCACAAGAAAAAGAAAAAACGAAAGCAAGAAAGATACAAATATAGAAACAAAACATAAAGAAAGAACGAAATACATAAATAACGAACGACATAATGAAAAATCGAAAGGAAGGGATCAATACATAACGAAAAACGACATAACGAAAGAAATAAGTTAAGGAAAGAAAAAAACAAAAAATGATATAAGGCAGAGGCATCTTCTTTTGACCAGAAGTTGTAAAAGGGGAACTGTGTGCTGGGCATCTGGCGCAGGTTGTCTTTGTATGCAGTCCTGCATCGTATGAGATTTCCAAACCACCAGGACAGGTGTATTTTTGCTGCATATGCGAACGAGGCATATCCAACACAAGGTCCAAGCCCTGAGACATCGACGTGCAGCACTAAAGCTGAAGCCCGAATCTCCAAATTAAACACATCCCAAGCCACAGAACCGAAAGCTTCCTTGTCATAAAGCCCCGAAGGTGAAGAACGTTTGTTTACATTCCACATGTGAAGCCCCTACACACAACATGCGCTAGTCCACTACGCCGCTGGGATTGTGAAGTGTCTCCTGCCTGGCAGTGAGGTCGAGTCCCGCTATCCAAGTTCTACGGCAGCTTGGCAAGACCTTTTGCTTTCCATTGAGATTCAGTCTCCGGGTTTCGTTTTTGGGCGTGGTTGTGACCTTGTGGTGCTCGTTTTCTGTTCTGACCTGAGAGCCTCCGTCCATCTGAAGTCTGCCAAAATGCTTTCATACATACCCTGGTCCTGAAGTCAAGTCTATGAGGTGCAACAGCAATTGGTCTCAGGATCTGTTTGCAAGCATTCCTCCAGAAGGGCACGGCACCTGTAAGCACTGTAGCGAGGCACCGGCCTGGAAGCCGATTGGCGCTTTGCCGAATCGGAGGCGTGGGTTGGGGAGCAGGCGAAATGGGCGAACTGAACCTAGAGGTTTTGGGGGTCATGCTTGAAAACGCACTCCATTGCTCTAAAACCTTGGAAGTTCAGTGCTAAACCCTGGGCCAGCTTTAACTTTGGAAAACATGGTTTTGAAACGATGACAAAGCATGCGAGGCTTACCTCCGGGAGCTGGGAGCCCTGGATGAGACAGGCCGTGCCGGGAAGCAGGCGCCTGGGCACCCAAACCCAGGAAGTGGTTTTGGGCTTGAAAAGAAGGCAGTCCGATTCGATACAGGTCACTAGGACTGATCGAGGGTCCGAGCTGAAGTTCGGGCAGGCCCGTGCTAAGATGCCTTTACCACATTTTCCAAACCTATAACGGGCTTGGGCACAGCTCTTCGTTGCTTCAAGCCGGCTGGGAGACGGAGAACCCATTTGGGAGATCTGGATGTGAGGACTTCAGAATTGGGCATGGTTTCGCGTCCTGCCAGGTGATCATCCCGAACTACATCCAGGCGGCTTCGAACTGCATCGCCGGGCGGCCGAGTTTAGCAGATCTTTGCAGGACCTTGTAGGATCCTTGTGTTATTTGAAATATTTGGTTTTAGTCGTTTCTTAGGAGGCAGGGGGCTACTTTGGCTTTATCTACTGGGGCAGTCGATGCCGATTCGGTTGGAAGGGCGGTTCGCGCGAAGACATGTACTGCCAAGACCGCTTCGTTTGAGGAGCTCTTGTCCTGCCGTTTGAAGGTGCTTAGCCGCTTTAGCCGCAGCCAAAGTGCCAGCGATTCCTGGCAAGCGGAATCAACGATTTCCTGATATCCAGTTTGGCTATGTACAAACAGCTGCCAGCGCTTCTCAATCTCATGATGAGCTGAAGCTCCCGTCGGCACAACAAGGATTGCAAGTTAAAGCCGCAGAAAAATCTGAAGGCCCGAACTCTAGAACATCCGGTAAGTTGAGTTCCTGCAGATGGAAATGCTCGAGTGTTTTCCAGGGTTTCGAAACGTTCAACAAGGTCGCCACAAATCACTACATGGTCTGCTGCGTCAACGACTGCAACCCGCTCCTCACAGAGCTTGACCGCTCTTTAAGGACGGTGCGTGCACTCACCGCATTCAGCTTTGGGCTGTTTGAACCTAATGTCGGGTGATTTTGATTTGCCGCTGACAACTGGCACTCGGTCCAGTGTGGGAAACGGCCTGTAGCGTTCTTGTCCCGCTAGAAATCTTCAAGTGGGCTCGGAAAGTTAGACCCAGAGGAGCGAAGAGGCTTTAGCTTCAAAACGTCCAAAATCGACAACCCAAAAGCTGAACGCCCAAAGTCTTCACTGCTGGGGGCTAAGCTCAACTCACTGTACCGATGAACCCAAGCCCTGTCAGGAGCCCCACGGCAGAGCCCCAGAGGTAGCTTGGAGGATTTCATTGGCATGCGGCTCTTCCAGCATGTCGGGTTTCGGGCTTCGCGTCTAGAACCATTTGAGGGGAACGGAGGCTCAAGGAGAGAGAGAGCCTGCGACATTCACAGCTGGACAGGGTTAGGCCCACACCGGCTGGCCATCCGGTGACACGATCTGCTGTGAATTCACTCGTCTCGTCCTTGTTGTTTCTGAGGATTCTTGCCGTCGTGCGCAACATGACCTCGGGAACATCCCTGGAGGACGCAGCCAAGTATTCTACGGCTCGGCATTACGGGTGTGGAGTGGAGACAGGCGCAGGCGCCAAGGGTTTACAGTGAGCGGTGGATCTTGGAATTGTGTTTTTTTTTGTTCCGGCTCGGTCTGAGGGGAGAGTGCCGACTCAGCAGGATGAGGCTGATGCTCGTGTCGATGCGAAGATGGCAGCTCAGTTGGAGACCATCGCGGCGAACCACGGCGGGGAGGTCTTGGGTGGGGTGGACAGGTTCGGAAAGTTGTTGAAGTTGGCTTCTCAGATTTCATGGAGCATTTTCGGCCGTGGTTTGGGCCTAGGCCTTGCGGGACTCGGGATCGTTTTTGATTTTTCGGTCCAAAGTTTGCTGGGCTTGCGGCTTGGTTGGAGAGTTTTGGCCGAACCAACGGTGCACGCACAGGCAGCTTACAAAAGAGCTTTGGGTGGTTAGGGTTCTCTAGCCGTCCAAGGGAGTTGCAACAGTGTTTCGTACGGCACCAAGTACAAGAATTCAGAATCCCTCGTCACACTTCCATTACCCAAATAAAAACCAAGAACTATGTTTTCCGAGAGGTCCCTATCCATGGCCGCCTGTTCTTGCAGTGACTCGGCTTGCCCTGCATTCCAGCCTTTCGCATCCCACAAGTGACAAAGAACTACTTGCCTCCGCGTGTCCATGCACTCAGCCCGCTTCAATGAACTCAGGTGGCTTCACTACGAACCTTGGCAGCAGTTTGGACAGCAGGCGACGAGCGACAAAGGGCTTGGTCGTGCCTGTGTGCAATCCAAGTCTGGAGCCTCCAGGTCACCAGCTTTTTCCCATCTACTTCTATGGTTTATGACTGACGGATCGAACTCATTCCGAACCCAAGCCCCGGAGTGCCAAAACCGCATGCCCCAAAGTTTTCATGCTCTCAAACCTTGGCCCAACACCCCCCAAAGCCATCGGATACTCTCTGGCGGCTTCAGGTCTTCCCTCGACAGTGCCCCTTCCCCCACAAATCCGGGACCACAGTCCACCGGGCGCCCCTGGAGTTCGAAGGCCGGCTTCGGGCTTCGGGTGTGCTTCGGGTGTGCTTCGGGTGCCAGAACACATTTCTAATTCTATGGCTTTCTCCAAGCAAGCTTGTTTCTTGGAGATTCAGGAAGGTGACTTTGCGGTTTTCGGGTTTCGAGTGTCCGACAATATGCGTTGAGGCTGCGTTCCAGCATCGGCAACCTTCCCTGGAGTGACAACTTCGGCTTTCAGACTCACAGTTCCCGCCAAGGAAAGAAGCTTCCTCATCCCGACTCCTTGAACACTCCGTAGCTGCCTTAACCACGAAGCCCTGAATCCGAAGCTGGCCCAAGTTCCAACCCGTACAGGAAGCTGCAGAAGCATCTCATTTACCTCTGACTGTGTGGCAGGCGAGTATGTGGCCTCGCAAGAGACCATGAAGGCTCGCTCGTTGCGCTTGTATTGCTGCGGACTGGGTCTCACCAGGTTCATAACATGTGCTGTCATGGCCAGAAGCATCACATGAGCAGCAAGGTCACATGAGCAGCGAGGACGTTGCATGGGGAACTTATTTGGAAGCTGCGGGAGCCTTCGGGTTTTGCTGCGCATTCGACAGTCCACTGCTTCGCAATTCAACTTGGGGTTTGAGATTTTATGCTTGAGGGCAGCGCGCAAACTCTTCATTCACCCACACGTCATTCCCATGACAGGACTCATTTCATAGGAATAGCGAATTCGAGATTCAAAGCTTTGGCACGAGTGGTTTGCGCATGCGTTCCCAGCCGCCCAAAAAGCGTATCCCTTGGATTGCCGCGAAAAGTGTATGTGAAGGCAGAAGCCTCGGCTCTACCGTCCGAGTCGTTGCCAGCCTTCAATGTGACTCGTGCAGCAAGTCTGGGCTTTGTAACTCTCCAACACATTGAGCCCCGCATCCTGATTCCTCAGCGTTTCACGCCTTCCATGGATCCGAAATCCATGAGCTGTCTGGGAGCATTGAACCTTGAACTATCAGTCAGAGCTCTGGGAAAAGTGAACTGCTTCATCCCGATTTTGAGCACATGATCTAAACGTACTGTGGGACATTGGATGGTGCTCATTTCATTTCTGCTCCGGATGATCTCGGTTGCTTGAATCCATTGTCCAACGCGCTCAGACACGCAAAATCTTTTGAAAGCACGTGGCGAGCGCTTCCTTTTACCCCAAGCAGTGACAGAGCACCTGGCAGTTCAAGCCCGACATACCCAAGAACCATTCCAGGAGAATGCTCCCAAGACTCCCATAAATCCAAAAGGAACGCAAAGCAACTCAAAACGCACGGCACTGCGGAAGCATCACTTGTTTCTTCATCATCATCATCATCATGATCACCATCACCATCACCATCACCATCACCATCACCATCATCACCATCACCATCATCATCATCATCACCGTTATCACCATCATCTTCAACACCATCATCATCACCGTCATCATCACCATCATCATCATCACCATCATCATCATCACCATCATCATCATCATCACCGTCACCACCACCATCATCATCATCATCATCGTCATCATCATCATCATCATTATCATCATCAGGATCATCAACATCATCATCACCATCATCATCAGCATCATCATCAACATCATGATCACCACCACCGTCAACCGCCACCGCCACCGCCACCGCCACCGCCACCGCCACCGCCACCGCCCACCGCCGCACCACCGCCACCGCCACCCCCCACCA